AAGATCAACTGGCACCTGGGAAATATCAAGATTTGAAAGAATGAAAAAACTATTGAAGATTCAAAAAGATATCAGAAGTGAATAGTTACAATATTACTCACCAATGGGTTGATCTTCTTGGAGTCTCCACCGAGTCTGTTCATAGCATCTCGCATACAAGCAAGGTCAACTACAGCTGGAACTCCAGTAAAATCCTAATAAAATATTATGGATTATTAAAAATGAAAGAAGGGGTGCAAAGTTGTATGCTTGTATAATTGCAGATGTAAGGATATTCACCTGTAAGAGAACACGAGCAGGTTTAAATGGAATCTCCACTTGTTTTGGTGAAGTATTTTCCCAGTCGATGATCTTTTCAACATCATTCTTGGTAACTTGAAAGTCATCACAATTGCGTATGGCAGACTCTAAAAGGATTTTGATAGAATATGGGAGCTTGTCTGCATATATGTGAAGATGAGTGTGAAAAAAAAAATGAGTGTGATAACAAATGGAGGATCCTCCAATGTGAATAAGAATTAAGAAGCAGGGACCTTAAGAAAAGGTTATGTTGTATTCTAAAGGATCAGAAAGAGAAAAATGAAACTTTAAACAATTAGGAAAAGTTTCATGTCCCTACCAATCCTGGGATCATTTAGTGCAGGAAGACTGTAAAACTTTCCGAACTCTCCTCCTCCAGGCTTGGGGAGACTGGTGAATATGCCTTTGAAAGGGTTTTCAGAAGCTGCATAGTTTAGAAAAAGTTAGTGAAAGAGAAATGAAAAGGTGACAAAACAAATAGTGAAATTCCAGCACCAAGATGGAACAAATGCTTGTTCCCTTCATCTCATTAACACCCTCAACGAATCTAGACAACTAGTAGTACAAATAACTTTTTTCTGAAAGGAACAACAAAAGCAAATCTAATAAAGCTATAATCAGCAAGTCAGCACCATAAAGTCCATATTCCCCACGGATTCACAAAAGAAATATGCACACACTTTGAATCCACAAAGTAGCAAGTATAAGTAGAAAATCTAGGTGTCAAACTTGCGACAAATCTAAATCAACATTTAATTTGAATATATTACAGGTTTGATCTCAAAAATCAAAACGTAAGTTCTTGTTCTATCTGAACGAGCAAAATCAAAACTGTAAAACGAAACGACATGAAAAGTGCTATATAGGTCCAATCCAAGTAGCATAACTAGCTTTGCGTATGTTGTAGGCCATCGATTGACAATGATTAAATTAATGAAAATACAGTATTGACTGATTAAAGAAATGAAATCAAAATCCAGTGACGTAAAGTCAAAACCCCGTATACTCTTGATTTGACAAATCCTAAACAGAAAATTAATAAGAAATGGATATTCAGCAGTAGATAAACATAGATATATACCCATGGTAGCGATCTTTCGTTGGAATTGTTGAACGACAGGAGCAACTGCTCCGATCTGAGCCCTAGGAGTAACACTGGATCTCCAATCAACACCGTGACTCCACCGCGATACAGAACGGAACGCCGATGAAGTGCTGACCGATCTGAACGGCGAAGAAAGAAGTGAAGCTCTGACGAGACAAGGTTTGGGTTGAAGAGAAGTAGAGAAACGAACTTTAGAAGAAGCTCTAAGAATTACAGATGAAGATGATGAGTTGGTAATCGCTATATACATCACGATATACCAGAAGAAAAAGAAAAATTAAAAAACCCTAATAATTAAAAGTGGAGAGAGAGAGAGAGAGAGAGAGAGAGAGAGAGGTTGTTGAAGTCTTTCATGGCTGCCTAGTGCCGACTGTGAGTGGAGCGTGAGTTCTAGTGTGGGGTGGTGTAGGGTAAGGAGGATGATGATGAGCAGGTGAGGGACGATGGACGGTGAGATTTGTACGAGGACAAAGATCAACGGTATAATCGAGGCTTAAAGTATAGTTTGACCATGTGTGAAGGTCTGTAGTTGATAAGGATTTCAATTGAAGTCCGCTCGGCTCGGCTCGGCTCGGCTTGGTTTGACTTGAGTCGGCTTGAAACGGAACGAGTGTGTAATGCACACTCCAATTTACCCATTTGTTTTTTTTACTGTTGGATGCCTACATTCTATGAAACTATATTTTTTTATCATATTAAAAATAAAAAAATAAATATGGAACACTAAATTTGTTATCTAAACAATCTTTTACGCATATCAGAATTTAACCCATGAGAACGATGTTTAAATTTCTTAGCTAAACAATCAGTTAGTAAGTGATTTAAATATGAATAGATCAGATATTAAAATAAGTATTTTTTATATATTGTTAAAACTTTTGTATTTTGTTAAATATAAAAAAGATAATAATATCAAAATATATATCCATAAGAATTCTATCAACATATGGCTTTGGAAGACGTGACACAACCAAACGGATGAGGAAATGGATATTCCTTGTCCCAAGAAAAATGATGTACGCTTTGTCATTGTCAAATTGATAATAGTTGACAAAAGTAAATCAATCAAATTTGTCAAAAGACTCCAAAATATATCTAAGCTGTTGTAATATACTAATCTATAAGTTATTTTATTAAAAAAATATTAAAATAATTTACGATATAGTACTTAATTATGTAACAAAAATATAACTGTTTTACCAATTTATAAAACACACTAAACTTTTATTAATTATTAGATGTTGTATCAACATATGGTCACTTCCACCTCATCTTTGCCATTTCTTTGCCAAGCAACAAGTGTGGTGTAACCCTTGCCACTTTGTCATGAGAAAAGAAAATGAAAGAAAGTCACCGCAAGGAGAATAAAGAGAAAGGGCGAGCATTTGTCATTTTGTCTTGCCACTTTGTCATGTCATGTACTAGGCGTGATGTTTGTCATGCCAAATAGGCACTACGTATGATTCTTGTCGAGCCATAGCCACTGGCCTTAGTGATTTTCAAGTCATCAAACATTTTTGAATACTATGTGTTATAAATTATGCGCAACTATGGGTGAGTGAGGAGGTGTTGAATGCATTCTCATATACATGAGTTGACATTACAAATGGTGGGGCACCGCAAACCCCTTAAATTGCATCGGAGAACTAGGGGCGTGTGCCCAAAAGTTCGATTCAATCTAATCCCCCAAAAAAAAAACCCCTTCATCTGAATCGGATATGGGAAAATATAATATTCATATTAGTGTGTCTGGGTTTATTTGGTTTTGGTCTTAAAATAATGATTTCAATGTAAATTGGATTAGTATTGTATATGATTCAGATTTTCTAATGATCCGGTTTTTTTATATAATTTAAGAAAAATTAACTTCAACCAATTTTATATACTCGGTATAGAAATATTGGAAGAGTTCACATTTGTCAAATAAGATAAAGCCAATTGGGATTTTATAATACCCGATATTTGAAAATTTAGATTGGATAATTTTCAGATTTTTGAAAAATCCGATATGATTTATGCAGCTCTATCGAGGACTGCAAAGTGTGGGGCTTAGAGGAAGACACTGTATGAGTTGAAAGTCGAGTTTGAACATAAAAATATTGGTAAAGGTGGAAAAGAAGTAATTATTGATACATTGACACTTGTTACTATGGGTTTATGATTCAGTAGTTAACGTTGCACTACCACTACTACGTCTTTGATACTAAAATGATGAGATGGCAGCTATCAGTCGGTTGTTATCAAATCAATGGATACATATGTTACTACCGCAACATGCAGGTCTTGAAAATAATCATCTAAACTACTTTTAACCAATCATTTAACATTCATTCGTGTTATTTATCCATACCATAGAACTATTAGGCTATATAGAGAAATACAATTTTCGAATCTCGAATAGACCTTAATAAGGGGCGGAGCTTTCTTATGGCGAGGGGTTGTGCCCCCCCCCCCCCTCCGGATTTTTTGGTTAGAAGTAGCCACTATATTTTACTTTTATAGATATCAGGCCTAAAAATATAAAATTTTTGTTGTTGCCCCCCCTGCTCACCGATTTTTATACATATTATATTTTCGGCCCCCTAAATAAAATGTTGAAGCTCCGCCCCTGAACTTAATACGAATTTAGTCATAAGACATCTAGTTTTTGCCTAAGCTATCATTTATATGTTTGTGATGCTAAGTAATACTATGTCGAAATATTGCCTAAAGGGTGACTTATAATATTATATTGCTTAAAAAGGTAAATTATTATCACATTTAGAATTCAAAATGGCGAAATGCACCACCAACGCAAAAATTGATAAATTAATAATAATATAATAAATAATAATACATGACAATATAAATTGATAGAAGAAAATTCTGACTTGTTGTCAAAGAAAACCAAATCCATCTCACATGTTTAAAAAATTACTTATTTTGATCGATTACCTAATGTATTTAGCCTAAATATGGTCTCGTGTCTTTAGAAAATTTCCCCATTTGGGCTATTACCTAATCCTTTTCGACCAATCAGAGTATCAGTTTTTACAGCCTCTGTTATGTTTTGCTTGCAGTTTACCTATCTTTTTAAAAGGAATTAGAAAAGCTAAAAATGTGGCGATCATCCAATCCAACCACCAAAAAAGATTAAAGTTTATAAATTAATACCCATCTTAAATCTTTATGTGTCAGAAAATAATAATATTTTAATATATTTATTAAATATTTAATGAAAATAATAATATTTTAATACATTTATTTGACTTACCATTTAAAATGAATAGAAGGATATGTAAGAAGAAATATAGGAGGATATTAAATTTTTCATAAATTAATTATAACTACAAAGAATAGAATTTATACATTAATCTAAATAACATTATTACACGAGATATTACGAAAAACGTTAGAATTAGTTCAATATAACATATTGTATGCAAACTTTTAATTTGAAATTCTAATTCGTCGTTTTTTAATGTAACTTAAAATAATAACAAATTATATATCATAACCATTATGTTTCAGTAAAACAATATAACTATAAACTATTGAACATATATTTTCTAATATGATATGGTTTAAATAAAAATAAAAGTAGAAGCTACATAATCACCATCTTGGTGCCATTTAAACGTGTTAAAAGCAAATAACACCCAAATATTCATAAAATAATAAATCATATACCTCATAATACATATTCCATTAGCAAGTTATTGGGAAACGTGACCTACCCCACACTACTCATGGGTCATAATGGTAAATCAAAATTTACATGTCTACAAAACATGATCACGATCCAAGAGTTGACTAGCACATCAATCTCATCATAACTCATAAAATGTCCCAATTTTGAAACAAGTAACCATAATCATGTAGGAGGTTGCCACGTGCCTGGTCTAAAAGACGCACCTGACCCTGTTGGCTCCGCTGACCTGGAAAGTACATTAACAAACACAATATACTGTCAGTGTCAAGGGTTCAAGTCGCCAGTGTAAGAGTTTTGATTCCAATACAGATTAGGCTTCTTGTAGGGAAGACAATATAAGCGGGTCACTTTGTACTTGATTTTTAAATTCCAATGTATATTGGGGCTCCTTGTGACGGCCCTCCCTAGGTTTTTACGTCAGCTAACTAGTGAGCCACTGTGTACTTGATTTACATCTGACAGTAATGCTCTTGGGCAGGACAGTGTGGGCCAAAAATAAATAAATAAATAAAGAGTGGTGGACATACTCTCGTTCTTGTTTTGCTTGATCATGGATTTCCTTCTTTTGTTTCTTGGTACTCGTTTGTGTGGAAGATTTATCATCTTCAAGAGAAACATTCATAACGTACTTTTATTGATTTATTTATTACAACATTCAATTATATCAATGTCAAATCCAAATGCAAAAGCAACTTTCACTGCTATAATTAAGCAGATGTTTCAAACTTTTATTGTCCTTAAAAGAAAAAGGTAAAATGGTATAATAATAATAAAAAAAGAAAATACGTTGCTATTACTTGCATTAAACCCTTGTTTTTAAGTAATATAATCTCTTGGATAGATCCAACAAAATATTTGTCCCAAGTTGTGAACGACTTCTCGCTATCAACTCAAAAACTTTTTTTTTTCAAAAACTGATATAATTTAATATCAAACTTATAAATGATATACAGAAATATGAATTAAGATGTTTAGTTTAATAGTTTACCTTGTGAGTCAACTGGCAACTGCTGAATGAAACTTTTGAGGTCTGGGCCATCACCTTTACCTGTAGAAAAGTATATGATATGCATTAGAATATGTTTTGATCTATTTATTTTCCATTGAAGTAAAGTAAATATAATATTAATAAATATATATAAAAAAAGGTGTAGCTTACCCATGCTTGTTATTTTACGACCACTGCCTTCCCTAGCTTTCCTTTCTTCCTCTTCCTTCTTCAGCACTTTATCACATACAAGAAATTATTAATAGGATCAGAAAAACTTTCATTTTTATTACATATTCAAAAATCAATTTGGTAAATGCTAATTAGCATAAGAATGAAATATAAACAGAAAGCTAATGAAACTTACATGCAACATTTTCTTTAACACGTTGGCGCCTTGCCTCCAGCATAGCCATCTCCTAATAACAAAATAATGAGTTTATGTTCTTTCTTTGATGATATAATCCTTACATTACTTTTTTTAAACAGATAAAAAAGATCCATATAGTCAACCCAAATGTTTGGGTCAAAGATTGGAATTCACCTCTGGAGTTGGAGCTATCTTTCGTTGCCCATTCAGCCAACATATCCATTCAACTACAAATAAAATCATACAGCTCTTGAATACGAAAACACAAATCAAAATGAGATCATTTCAGAGAATCAGACATAACTCATGGTAAATAACTGATGTTTGTTGTATAGACTTACCTGGAATTGAAGTCGGATCATCATCCCCTTTGGCTTTGAATTCTACCCATCGTTTCTCCTTCACTGTTGCATCAAAAGGATAATTTTTGTAAGATGTATTTGTGTAAAATGTGTAAGATCTATAATCTATTTTTCTTTTTTTGAAAAGAAGGTTAGTGAGAATCAACTATACAAGGTACAATCAGCAAAAAAAACCAAGCTTGTTTTTTCGCAGAGTGTTACAGAGAATCAGAAGTACGGGTTATGTTGTGATTATCAAACTAAGCTTGAATTGATCGCAAATACAAATTGAATCGATCATGCTTCATTGAAACTAAAATAAACATGACTGATTTGAACTAAATAAAATTGATCAAGGGAGAAAGAAAGGGGACGCACTTACTGATACCGTCTATCTGTTCAGTACGAACATAGTATTGATTTCCGGCTTTATCGGCTCCTATAAACGTCCGATTTCTGACCATGGCTGTTAACTTCGACCAAATTCTCGACATTGCTCGCTGATGAGCGTCAATACTACCTTCTAATCCTTTCTATTTGTGAACAAAAGAATCAAACATGTAAGATGGGGATAAATGTAGGGGGAATCAATCAAAATAGGATCAACAACGATAGAAGGGGGGTTTTGTCGATCAAGGGTTTCGTTGCGTCAGTGCGGACTACCACAAGGTTAGCTCAAATTGTATAATGGGAAAATGACTTATATGTTATATGGGTAACTATGTTTCAAAATCGTTCAAAAAATATCATTAAGTTTGGTGTGTCCAAAAAACATTATTCAAGTAAAGCATTTGTACAAAAAAACACCAACGAAATACATTCTTTGTTCAAATTTGATCTGTGGTAACCGGCAATTACCGGTAAAAAATAAGTAAAGGAAAAAAAACAATAGGAAAATGACTCAAAGAGGTAACTATGTTTCAAAATCGTTCAAAAAACGTCATCCAAGTTTGGTATGCTCAAAAAACACCATCCAACTAAACTTTTTGTACAAAAAACACCAACAAACTATATGTTTTGTTCAAATATTACCCACCGGTAACTGGTTCTTATAGGTTAAATGATAATTTTGCTTAACTATTATGACATGGCATAATAATGATTGACAAAACAATAAATGATATATTCCTCCTTTAAAAACCGATTTAGGGTTTCTTCATGAACGAATGACTTATTCTTCTCCTATGATTGCTCGTCTTCTTCTAAAGTGATGATCTCGAACTCAAGTCCAAAACCCTAATTCTTAACTTAAGGCAAAAAGGGCTCATTTACCCCTGCCTCAATGGACCTCCCTCCCCCTAAGGCCCAAATCCATAAAAAGCCCAAAAAGGCATCCAAGCCCAACTACAAGGCATCTAAGGCCTAATATGGCCCAAGAACCCCCAACATGACCTTAGCCAAAAAATGACCTGCTACAATCAGGTGGCCCCGAGGCCTAACTTAAACAAGTCTGTGCATAGTCCCATCATATCCAGATGTCGAGCCAGTACGCCCGGCGTACTCCTAGCGTACGCCCAACGTACTCAGCTAGGGTCAAGAACCGCCAATCTTCCGAAGGCCATAACTTCTTCATTCTAAGTGTGATTTCGTCATTCTTTATATCTACGGGAGCTAATTTAGGCATCAGACAGCCATACCGAGGGTTATGGCCTTCGGAAGATTGGCGGTTCTTAAGCCTAGCCGAGTATGATGGGCGTACGTAGGAGTACGTCGGGCGTACTTGCATAAAATCTAGATCGCAGAGGCTTCAACATATGTTGGGCGTATGAATGGACTTGTTTAAGTTAGGCATCGGGCCCACCTGATTGTAGCAGGTCATTTTTTGGGCTTAAGGCCATGTTGGGGGTTCTTGGGCCATATTAGGCCTTAGATGCCTTGTAGTTGGGCTTGGATGCCTTTTTGGGCTTTTTATGGATTTGGGCCTTAGGGGGGGAGGCCCATTGAGGCAGGGGTAAAGGAGCCCTTTTTGCCTTAAGTTAAGAGTTAGGGTTTTGGACTTGAGTTCGAGATCATCACTTTAGAAGAAGAAGAGCAATCATAAGAGAAGAAGAAGTCATTTGTTCATGAAGAAACCCTAAATCGGTTTTTAAAGGAGGAATATATTATTTATTGTTTTGTCAATCATTATTATGCCATGTCATAATAGTTAGGCCAAGTTATCATTTAACCTGTAAGAACCAATTACCGGTGGGTAATATTTGAACAAAACATATAGTTTGTTGGTGTTTTTTGTACAAAAAATTTACTTGGATGGTGTTTTTTGAACATACCAAACTTGGATGGTGTTTTTTGAACGATTTTGAAACATAGTTACCTTTTTGAGTCATTTCCTATTGTTTTTTTTCCTTTACTTATTTTTTACCAGTAATTGCCGGTTACCAAAGGTCAAATTTGAACAAAGAATGTACTTCGTTGGTGTTTTTTATACAAATGTTTTACTTGGATGATGTTTTTTGAACACACCAAACTTGAATGGTATTTTTTGAACCATTTTGAAACATAGTTACCCATATAAGTCATTTTCCATTGTATAATCGACCCTTATGATTTGAGAAGCTACGTACAACCCCCAAATATTTTCAGTCAGCATGTCATCCACAACCATCAACTTCTTTTCGGGTTTTTTAAGGAAAATGTCAAAATGGGATAGCGTCAAACAAAATGTTATATGGCAGAGTTTTAGTCGATTAAAACTACAAAAAAAAAAAAAAAAATCTGTGAAATCCCTAGGAAACATGCACAACAAAATGGATCTACATCTGCCAAATGGTGGGGGGCCTAACTGCCTAAGGCCTTAAGGTGCATAATTATAAGCCAACTACAAAATTACTGGGTCTACTAGTGAAATGGTTTGGCTAGCCAACTACAAAATTATGAGTCTACTACTGAATAGTGGGCTCAATGCTTAATTTATATTTGGGCCTATAAATATATAACTGATTCATTTATGACTCGAAAAAAAATTAAAACTCTCTTTAAATACCAGTGTTTTTTTTAAATACCAGTGTTTAGGGCCATTTATTTATACGGTTTCTTCATGTTTAATGTAGTTTATAATTTATTCCTCTTGAGTTGCCACCAAACTAAAAAAATGCCTCTTTTCGGTCAAGAAAAAGATCATGTGTAAGCGGCAGAGTTAAGATCAAAGGAAAAATATAGCACTTTTTTTTTATAATAATATACGATAAGAAAAATATAAAACCGCAAGCACAGGGCGGCGTCACAATCTTGTTGATCAAGGCGGCATCACAATCTTGTTGATCAGCCTTCTGTTTATATTTCATGTTTCCTTTTTTTTTATCAAATGGATACAACATTTTGACATTGGAGCTATTATATTTGGAATTTAAATATTTTTTATTTATAATATAGGGTAGCCCATATTTTTTACTGGGTAGCACCGTAGTATTAAAAAAAATTACGAAAAAATTTATGTTTCTAGACGAAATTTGAGGGGTACCACGGGCTACCCCACACATCTATATGAATCCACCCTTGATGTTTGTGTGTTGTAGGCCAATGATATGGTATGTGGTTGTGTTGCAAGCCAATGACCAGTGTAACACCCGGTTTTAGTGATGTTCTAATTTTGAGACGTCAGGCCGGAATTTGATCAAGTGATAGTATTGGGCTTCAAAAGAATAATATTTAGCCCCTTTTTGAATGTTGGCAATGTTGGATTAAGTGACTAAAGCCATTGATTTGTGCCTCGAAGCAAAGGGTAAAATTAGGAAGGTGGTATATTGGGCTTCTTGCATGAATTAATGATTTTAGTTCGATACATTTTTAGTCATAAGTAACTAGATAAGATTGTGGGGCTCGTCAACACCTTTCTGTGCATATATAAAGAACGCCGAAAATGGAGTTGAAACGAAGAAGATATGGTTGTTTGAAGTTGAATTGGAAGTTTGGGGTTTTGCCCTACACAAGACATAGCTTGCTGAATGTCGATCGCGTTTTTAATGGAAGTTTGGGGTTTTGCCCTTCAGTCAAATACCTCGGAGGGATGCTTGCATTAATTAGCTTCGATTCCACAGCCGTTGCAAAATAATTCCTAGAAAATGAGAGGAACTGGAAAGATACATTCAAATGGATGAAAATGGGATCCACTGAAGTCACAAAATTCGAACGTGTGACTTGGATTAGGATAGTTGGACTTCCTCTCCGACTATGGAATAATCCCAACTTCTCTGCTATCGTGGGAAAGATCAGGAGAATCGTGGTGCCTATAGACCATATCACAAATCGCGTTGACCTCTCTGTGGTGAAGCTAGCCATACTCACAGACAAATTAACAAAACTTAACGAGGAGATTTAGGTGGAAGCTGATGGCCGCTCTTTTCACGTTGGAATCGTTGAATACGAAAACGAACCATGGTTCCCATTCAAGTTTAACAATGAAGAACATCCATATTAAGATCAGGACCTGGATGATAAAACTGAAAATGAATCTATAGTAAGTGAGTTAGACAACTCGAACTCTACTGAAGAAGAAGAAGAAGGCGTGTCTGCAACATGGATTAATGAAATGGAGGAGGGGGAAATCGTTCAGGATGGTAACCTTAACTCTCCAATCTATCTGTTAGATGCATTTTATATGCATCTTTTAGCACAATTTCCTTGGTATTTCATTATAAAAAGCTAACTAACTCCTGATTATTCTTATGTATTTCGTGTTTCGTGATTATTTTGTAGAATGCCAGTACTGCTCACTTTTGTTATGACTTTTCAGGGCAATTTGGAGCACATGGATGATTACGCGAGTTCGGAACGCGTTAGTGGATGCTTTGGGGCGTATCTGGAGTCTAGACCAAGAAAGGATGCCGAGGAATGATCAAGAACAGCTTGGAAGGAGGAACGACGATCGAAAAGAGACAAAATTGAGGACTTGTGATCGCATACCCTATACTTGCGATCGCAGCTTTATCCATGCGATCACATGTTTGGTCACAGCTTCGCTTCGTAGTTTTTTCGTGCCAAAAATTCACCAGGATGAGAAAAAGTATCTTTATGCGATCGCAACCTATCTTTATGCGATCGCAACTTGGCTAAAATGCATCAAAATGGTAACGTACTTCATTTAAAAGGCATGGGATGCATTTTTGGTAATACATGCGATCGCAACTTGTGTACATGCGATCGCATGCACGACGTTTTTAACTCTGGACGTATAAATAGAGCCCCACACTTATCCAGTAACCCTAATTGGCGATTCCTAGCGATTTTCAGAGGGTTTCAAGTGAAGAACGCAGATCTAAAGGAGACGATTCAATTTCTTTTCATTGTTTAGTAAGATTTATCGTTTAGACTCTATTTTCTACTGTTTGTTAGCCATGTCAGGCTAAAAACTCAAATTTCAGTTTCGCAAGACATAACCTTTTCGTATGATTAATCATTAGACACTATGTTTGACTGTGAATACTGTTTAGTTTAATCAATTCTATGTTTAATTGAGTGTTTGATTTTGATTTCAATTTTTGTTGGCCACTTGAAT